CAAAGCTGGCTTGGTATGTTTAAATCTGTGCTTCAGTATTCTGTGCAACCATATTTGGCTACATCTACAAGCCACATTCTCCAACATTCACTTATAAGTAGCCCTTATAATACTGTCGTGCACTGCATGACAATGTTTCAATGTCGGACTGCATATACAATAGCAGTCTCTTGGAATGATAATACCATATTTTTACTGTACCTTTTCTATGTCTTTGTGTCATAATTGCCTACAGTATTCAGTGCAGTCACATGTTGTACAGGTTTGAAGTCTAGGAGAAATGGGCTGTACCCTATAGCCTAAGTGTGCGCTAGACCATACCATCTAGCCTTGTTTAAGTGGACTCTGTGATGTTTGCACAGCCGCAAAATTGCCCAACCACATGTTTCTCAGAATGCATTGCTGTCATCAAGTAACACATGACTGTATTTAGGTACTCCATCTTCTTTATTCTTTTATTTTTTTGCTCTTGGACACACACAAAAAAAACACTCCAGGTCTTTCCAACAGAAAGGTTTTAATGTAGGAAATTGGTTAAAATATGCATTAGTGGCCAGGCGCAGTGGCTCACGTCTGCAATCCCAGCACTTTGGGAGGCTGAGTGGGTGGAACATGAGTTCAAGAGATCAAGACCATCCTGGCCAACATGGTGAAACCCTGTCTCTACTAAAAATACAAAAATTAGCTAGACGTGCTGGCAGGCGCCTGTAGTCCCAGCCACTCAGGAGGCTGAGGCAGAAGAATCATTTGAACTTGGGAGGTGGAGGTTGCAGTGAGCAGAGATCTCACCACTGTACTCCAGCCTGATGACAGAGCAAGAATCCATCTAAAAAAATGCATTACTATCTATTGCTTTGTAAGAATTTAGCTCAAAACATAGCAACTTAAAACAACAATAATCATTTACTGTCTTTCTTGGTTTCTGCAGGTCCAGAATTTGAGAGCAACATGACTGAGCAGTTCTGATACATGGTTTTTCATGATATTGCAGTCAAAATATTGGCTGGAGATGTAGTCATCTGAAGGCTCGGCTGGGGCTGAGGAATCTTGCATGGCTGCTGGTGGGAAACCACAGCTTCTTGCCACATGGGGTCTCTCCCAGAGCTGCTTGAGTGTCCTCATGACATGATAGCTGGTTTCCCAGAGGAAGTAATTCACGGGAACAAGGCAACAATGCCTTTAAAAAAAAGGTGATGAAGGCTGGGTGCAGAGGCTCAGGCCTGTAATATCAGTACTTTAGGAGGCCGAGGCAGGAGGATTGCTTGAGGTCAGGAGTTCAAGACCAGCCTGGCCAACATGGTGAAACCCTGTCAATGCAGTGACACAATCTTGGCTCACTGCAAGCTCTGCCTCTTGGATTCAAGTGATTCTCGTGGCTCAACCTCCTGAACACCTGGACAAATAGACATGCACCACCATGCCTGGCTAATTTTCTTTTTCTAGTAGAGACAGGGTTTTGCCATGTTGGCCAGGTTGGTCTCAAACTCCTGGCCTCGACTGATCCATCTGTCTCAGCCTCTCAACGTGCTGGGATTACAGGCGTGAGCTACCAGACCCCGCCAAATGTTTATAGCAGCATTAATAATATCCAAAACTGCCAGGCGCGGTGGCTTACACCTGTAATGCCAGAACTTTGGGAGGCCAAGGCAGGCAGATCACGAGGTCAGGAGATCAAGACCATCCTGGCCAACATGGTCAAACCCTGTCTCTACTAAACATACAAAAAAATTAGCTGGATGTGGTGGTGCTGCCAGTGTTTTCAGACATTGGAATTGAATGTATTCAGGTATGACATCCTATGACCCAGTTTGCCACAATCCTCCCCACTCCTACTGCCGATGCTAGTGCCATCTCTGATTCATAAACTGCCTGATCCCTGAAGGCATGAATCTGAGTCCCATGATTTAGATAATAAAACCCTACAATACACAATTCACTGTGTTCCACTGAGATCCAGAAATGTCCACTTTTATTTATTTATTTATTTATTGGAGACAGTCTCACTCTGTCACACAGTCTGGAGCGCAGTGGCACTATCACAGCTCGGCTCACTGCAGTCTTAACCTTCCAAGCTTGGGTGATCCTTCCACCTCAGCCTCTCAAGTAGCTGGGACTACAGGTATGTGCCACCATGCCTGGCTAATTTTTTTTGTAGAGATGGGGTCTTGCTGTGCTGCCCTGGCTGGTCTTGAACTCATGGACTCAAGCAATCCGTCCGCCCCTTGGCCTCCCAAAATGCTGAGATTACAAGGGTGAGGCATGGTGCCCAGCTCCACATTTTAATTCCCTGATAGGTGGACTTAGAATATTATTTAATCAGTTCAAAGCGTTCTTCTGCAGCTGGGTTGCTTGGGAAGTCAAAAAGAGTTGTATAGGCCAGGCGTGGTGGCTCATGTCTATAATCCCAGCACTTTGGGAGGCTGAGGTGGGGCAGATCACGAGGTCAGGAAATGGAGACCATCCTGGCCTACATGGTGAAACCCATCTCTACTAAAAATGCAAAAATTAGCTGGGCATGGTGGCATGGGCCTGTAGACCCAGCTACTCGGGAGGCTGAGGTTGCAGTGAGTGGAGATTGCGCCACTGCACTCCAGCCTGGTAACAGAGCAAGACTATGTCTCAAACAAACAAAAAGCTAGGCATGGTGGTTGACGCCTGTAATCCCAGCACTTTGGGAGGCCAAGGTGAGAGAATTGCTTGAGCCCAGGAGTTCGAGACTAGCCTGGGTAACACAAGGAGACTTCCATCTCTACAAACAGTAAAAACAAAACAAAACAAAAAATAACTAAAGAAACTAGCTGGGCATGGGTGCTTGTGTCTGTGGTCCCAGCTACTCCAGAGCCTGAGGTGGGAGGATTGCTTGAGCCCAGGAATGCAAGGCTGCAGTGAGCCGAGACCGTGCCACAGCACTCCAGCCTCGGTGACAGAGACTCCACGTCAAAAAAAAAAAAAGAGCTCAGGATTTTGGACTGTGCAGGGGTCAGTGCCCCTAACTCCCGTGTTGTTCAAGGGTCAGCTGTACATTGTCACAGGCAGGAAGCCTGCATCACAGCAAAGGCTCCTGTTTCTTGAAACCTCAAGTGGGGAAACTGGATCCTGGGACACTACTGCCCCCTATTGCCTGTTGGTCTTCAAAGAAATAATCCCTTCAATTTTGCAAGGCCTGTGGTGTCATTCCCTTTTTATAGATAAGGAAACTGAGGCCAGGATGTGGTGGAAAATAATCAAGGTCACACAGCTATGTGCAAAAGCGGAGTAGCAACCTAGGCTACTCATTCCCAGATCAGCACAGTGACCTCAACAGTGTGTTGAGAAGTGTGAAGTCCTTCTGTGGCCCTGTGGCAGGGCCTGAGAGGACAGCCTACTTAGATGAAGTCTGGTGCCTTCGTGAGTGAGGCAGAGTCGAAAATAACTGTCATTCACTGGGAAGAAATCTGCATTGTAAACACAGAGGAAGGGGTATTTGGCAAAAGGATGCCTAGGAACGTTTTAGAGATAAGAGGTGACATTCGGGTTCTGAGGGACGAATAGGAGTATGCCAGGGTGCAAAGGATGAAAAGACAGCCCCAGCAGCTGGCAAGGGCTAAGGGGTATGGAGATGCAGTAAGACTTTGGGGAAATGGTAAAATTCTAACTTTGGGAAATCTGAACAAGGTAATTTTGTGTGTGTGTGGTTAAGGTGTTACATATATACAGTGAAATAAAATGCAGTAGTTGTGGGCGCAGTGGCTCACATCTGTAGTCCCAGCACTTAGGGAGGCCAAGGCAGGTGGATCACCTGAAGGTCTGAGTTAGAGACCAGCCTGGCCAACATGGTGAAACCCCGTCTCTACCAAAAATATGAAAATTAGCCGGGCTTGGTGGCAGGTGCCTATAATCCCAGCTACTCAGGAGGCTGAGGGAAGAGAATCGATTGAACCTGGCAGGCAGAGGTCTCAAGTGAGCTGAGACAGGGCCATTGTGCTCCAGCCTGGGTGACAAGGGAGAAACTCCATCTCAAAATAATAATAATAAAAATAAAATAAAAATGCAACAGTCTAATTGATTTTTAAAAAACATGTAGACATCCATGTATCCACCAACTAGGTAAAGATACTGAACATTCCAGCAACCCGGGAGGATCCCTCATGCCCATTTCAGGTCTATATGCACCTCCACCGCTCCCCAGTCTCCAGGAAGTAGAGGGAGAGGCCAACATAAAACCTAAAAACCAGCGGATTTCGCGCCTGTAATGCCAGCTACTGGGTTGGCTGAGACAGGAGGATCACTTGCCCAGGAGTTGGAGGCTGCAGTGAGCTATGATCTTGCCACTATACTCTAGCCTGGGCGAAAGATCAAGACCCCGTCTCTAAGCAAACAAACAAACAAACACCTCTCAAAAACCTTGGCTTTAGGCCTGGCGCTGTGGCTCACTCCTGTAATCTCAGCACTTTGGGAGGCCGAGGCGGGCGGATCACTTGAGGTCAGGAATTTGAGATCAGCCTGGCCAACATGGCGAAACCCCGTCTCTACTAAAAAATACAATTAACCGGGCGTGGTAGCTCACGCCTGTAATAACAGCTATTGGGGAGACTGAGGTACGAGAATCGCTTGAACCCGGGAGACGGAGGTTGCAGTGAGCCGAGATCACGCCACTGCACTCCAACTTGGGTGACAAAGCGAGACTCCGTCTCAAAAACAAAGCAAAATCAAACGAAACAACACAACCTTGGTTTCAGCCCGCACATTCCCTCCACCCCTATCGCTGCCTGCAAATCCTTCGCCAGCTTCCTGGACAGTGCTAAGAGGGCACTGCAGAGGCGTCTGGACACTCGTTTTCCTGGGAAGTCCACGTGAATTTTAGTTTGGGCGCTAAAAGACTAGGAAAAAACGTTTGGTCCTTTGGAGCCGCCGTCCAGGCTCGGGCCGCACAGAGCCGCTTGTCCCTCGGCGGCTGCCGTGCGTCCGTTACGTGGCAGCTGCCGCGGCCCGCCAATCCACTGCGCCCGCATCAGCCCCCTCTGGTGACGCAGGCGGAAGGGGCGGAGCTTAGGCGGCGGCGGCTGAGAAGGTAGCGGGGCGGCGGCGACGGCGGCTCCGGAGGCCGCAGTCCGGGTCCTGGCTTCGGCCTCAGCCCCACCATGGTGACGGTTGCTGAACTGCTGGTGCTCCTGGCCGCTCTCCTGGCCACCGTCTCAGGCTACTTCGTTAGCATCGACGCGCATGCCGAGGAGTGCTTCTTTGAGCGGGTCACCTCGGGCACCAAGATGGGCCTCATCTTCGAGGTGGCGGAGGGCGGCTTCCTGGACATCGACGTGGAGGTGCGGGCGAGCTGCCCGCGGCCGAGGCTTGGTCGCGTGGCCGCTCGGGGATTGCTGGCACCTGGGGCCGGCGCGGTGCCTGCTTGGGGAGCGGGCTTGGAAGTCGCTGTCCGATTCCTGGAGAAACTCGGGCCGCCACCCCCCCGCCCCGCCCCGGCCACGGCGACCTCCTAACGACACCTTTTCCCGCGACTTGCCGGAACTCCGGGATTCCTTCGGGGCTCCTTCGGCATGCTTGGTTGCTTTGGGTTCTCTCCTTGAACGACGGGTTCCGATTGGAACCTCTCGCCGAACATTGTGAATCAGGCGCCGCGTGTCAGTCCGGGCCCCGAAGGCGCTTCTCAGTCGCGGTTAGCTGGTGGCGGGTCTCGATCCAGTTAGCACCTGCTTTCCTTCGTGTTACGGATCAATGTTGGAACGTGGCACGGAAACTTTTCCAAAAAATAGATTAAAATCTATTAAGGATTAAAAAAAAAAACTATTGAGGAATGCTAGGCATACTTTCGCGTTGTGTTTATTTTTCATAGAAGCAACCTTAAGGTTCTGCTCACATTTACTCAAGCATCTAGCTATCTCGTTTAGTCTTCTCTGCCTAGGAGAGATGGGGAATTGGGTCATTCGTTTAGGAGTAAGAGTGCAGTGAAATATCAGAAAACCGGAAATTAAGAAACCAGCAGTCCCTAAATCTCCATTCATATTTTTGTTGTTGTTGTTGTTTTGGTTTGGTTTTTTTTGAGACACATTTCACTCTGTCGCCCAGGCCTGGAGTGCAGTGGCACAATCTTGGCTCACTGCAACGTCCGCCTCCCGGGTTCAAGCAATTTTCCTGCCTCAGCCTCCCAAGTAGCTGGAAATACAGGCGGGCACCACCACACCTAGCCAATTTTTGTCTTTTTAGTAGAGACAGGGTTTCACCATGTTAGCCAGGATGGTCTCCAACTCCCGACCTCAGGTGACTTGCCTATCTCAGCTTCTCAAAGGGCTAGGATTACAGGCGTGAGCCACGGTGCCCAGCCTCCACCCATGTGGTTTTAAACCAAAAGAATGATGTGTCGCTAATTTGTATTTTAACTCACCTGCCGGCATGATTAATTGGGTCTAAGGAGTTTCCATTTGACTCAGTGTACTCAGTAGGGCTGGGCACAAGTTACACAATACAAGTGAAATCCAAAAGTAAGGGGATAGTGGAAGGGAGAGACTATTAGACTTAGCTAAGAATTCCAGTCTCAAAGTTGTGCAAGTGACATGGGCTTTAAAAGAGCGACTGATTGACCACAACCTAGCAGCTGATGTGTAGCAGACTGGGATGAGAATTTTCTCATTTCCAGGCCTGTTCTTTCCTTTAAGCCTTCAGGCATCTCAGATAAAGCAGAATTCCTTCACTGTTTGGCAGAAATCTGGAAATCCTTGAAATTTGATTTGACAAGAATTCATTTTGTTTATATTTTTAAAAACCACAAATATTATCTCTCATGGTTTCTGTGGCCAGGAATTACGGAGAGGCTTAGCTGGGTGGTTCTGGCTTGAGGTTTCTCATGAGGTTGTAATCAAGATGTCAAGCAGGGATGCAGAAATTGTTCGTTTTAAAGAGATGTATTTTTACTTGAGTTTTGCTGTCAGTCACAGTTGTGTGTTTGTTGGTGATATTAGGCCAGTTGGAGACCACATTGAAAGTGAGGTTTCTGTTTCTGAGGGGTTTAATAAGGACAAATAAGACATAAATGTCAGAACCAAAAGTTGTTTTAGGGAGCCATGAAGAGAATCCTTGTTTTATAAAATGGGAGAATTGCAGTCCAAAATGGTTATTAACACTTACTGAAGTGGAGCTAAGCATAAGTTACATATTCTTGGTGAATTTCTTTTTCTTTTTCTTCTTTTTTGAGATTAGTCTCTCTGTTGCCCAGGCTGGAGTGCAATGGTGCCATCTCGGCTCACTGCAACCTCCACCTCCTGTGCGATTTTCCTGCCTCAGCCTCTGGAGTAGCTAGGATTACAGGCGAGTACCACCAGGCCTGAATAATTTTTGTATTTTTAGTAGAGATGGGGTTTCACCACGTTGACCAGGCTGGTCTTGAACTCCTGACCTCAGATGATCTGCCCACCTATGCCTCATGCCTCCCAAAGTGCTGGGTTACAAACCTGAGCCACCATGACTGGCCATATTCTTGGTGAATTTCTTACTGCCATTAGACATTACTTACAAATTTATGACTGTAAAGCTTTTGTGACATTTTCTGTATTTCTCTCTTGCCTCCAGATTACAGGACCAGATAATAAAGGGATTTACAAAGGAGACCGAGAATCCAGTGGGAAATACACATTTGCTGCTCACATGGACGGAATATACAAATTTTGTTTTAGTAACCGGATGTCTACCATGACTCCAAAAATAGTGATGTTCACCATTGATATTGGGGAGGCTCCGAAAGGGCAAGACATGGAAACAGAAGGTGAGATGAACATTCAGAAGATTTATATCGAATTCCATGAGCTCATTGTAGTTCTATACATTTTTACCCATCTGAGTGGAGTACTTATTTTTTTAAATTTCTTAACCAAAAACTATTATGAAATATGCTTTTTACTTTTTGTAAGTCTCCTAATAAAAAAGTTTCTTGAAGCTAGTATTTATGTATTTATTTTTTTGTTCCTTTTTTTTTTTTGTCCAGGCTGGAGTGTAATGGTATGATCTTGGCTCACTGCAAACTCCGCCTCCCGGGTTCAAGCGATTCTCCTGCCTCAGACTCCCGAGTAGCTGGGACTACAGGCACATGCCACCAGGCCCAGCTAATTTTTGTATTTTTAGTAGAGATGGGGTTTCGCCGTGTTGGGCAGGCTGGTCTCAAACTCCTGACTTCAGGTGATCCACCCGCCTCGGCCTCCTAAAGTTCTTTACATTTGTCCTGACAGATTTTCTTAGTCACTTTGTGCTCTTGTGAGCATGTAGGTTCCGTGTGTCTTAGGTTATTTTTTCTGATTATTTGCTAATCCTGGCATATACTTTATTTGCTCATTTGTATACATGACTTTAAAAGTTAGTTTAGCTAAACTTTTTGTTGGCTCTTTTTGTGTTAAGTTATCTTAACTTTCCTTCAGGTGGTGGAGATACCTGGGATGGTATGTGCATTGCTTTTTGGCAGCATCCTTTTGCATCTTTTGTTTGCTAATGTCTAATTTCTGCTTTCTTTTTTCTAACCTCAGTTTGTTGGCATGAGAGTGTTTTTTTCTCTTAAATCCCTGAAACTAATTGGTTTTTTTTTTTATTTTTATTTTTTATTTGGTTGACAGGAGATATAGGTTAGTTTATTTTAAACTAAGCACTGAGAACACAGTGATCGACATTTTAGTAACATCTTTGTTCTTTAAAATAAATGCTAAAGAGTGAAAATTCAAGGATAAGGGGACAGAGGTCCCAAATAAACGTAGCTTATAGTAAATGGTGCCTTTGACTTTGTAGAAAGTATTTTGTAGACTTCCTAACCTGAAGCTTGGTTGGATATGAAATGCAGTTCTAGGAGCCATATGTTGATATGAAGACCAAAGTTCTTTTAGCCTTATGTTGCAGTTAAATTGTTTATTATTTAGGTTTCCAGTAATAAACCCTGATTGATTCTTGGTGGTTCTGGATAAATTGCTTACTGGGAGCCAGAACATTTGGTGGTTTTTTTTTTTCCACAGTGCCTGCCAGGGTTTTTGAAGCCAGTCATTGTTCAACACATTTCATAGTATAATATTAGCATGGTAACATTTGTCCCAGATACTCAGTATGAGTAGATTGCTAACATCGTAAAGAAGCTGAGTTGTTTGGTTAGATTTTGAAATATATAAGAGAGTCCTACTACTTAGTAATTTCTGTGTTCATTTTTCAGGGTCATTTTATAGGGTAGGACTTGACTAATTTTCAGGGAGAACGAGGAGTTCTGAAAGGCTTTTTTCGTTTATTTTCTGGAGATCCTATTTAAATAGTTTGAAAATGTTGGTTGATGGATATGAATATTGAACTTCTTAGATAATTTTTTAACATATATCAAAAAGTATTGCTTTTGCTTGTTATTGTTGGTGAATGGCAGCTGTCAAATCAAGCCTTCCTCTAAAGCAGTGGTTCTCAAGTGAGGATGGTCTTTATGCCCCAGGGGATATTTGGCAGTATGTGGAGGCATTTTTTATTCTGAAGACTGCATGGGTTTGTGCTCCTGGCATCTAGGGCTGGAGGCCCCGGAGGCTGCTAAACACCCTAGAGTGCATCACACAGCGCTCCACAACATAGAACAGCTTTTGGTCCAAGTCCAAAATGGCGACGGTGCCACTGCTGAGAAACGCTGCTCCACTGCTTCCTCGTTGTGCACGGGGCCTCCAAAGGGAAATGAGTGACATTCCAATTCAACTACCTTCAGTGGTAGAGGCCCTTGGTTTCTCCTAAGAAACTTGGAATTATCTGTGATAATTTGGAATCCCAAATGAGACACAATCTTGAGCAGGGATGAAGAGATCACCCTTTCCCTGGGAATGTTTCATGGTGCTGTGTATCTCCTGCCTGTCCATTGTCCTAACATGGCACTATCTAGAAGCACATGCTTACTCTTCAGAACAATACCTTGTATGTGTTTTTGGTTCAAGAGGATACCTAGTTGCAAATTTGTGCTGCTAAGGGTTTGTCTCTATTTACATTGCCTGCTATTCCCCACTATAGTGAAATCATTACTTTGTCACAGAAGAATGTTGAGTTGATGTGGATTTTCCTAAGAGCATTTTAATGTTTTTCTCTGCTCAGCTTCATAGAGATTAAAAGTCTGTTTTGGTGCTGCTCCTTAATTAATATTAGAGTTACACAACTCTTAGATTTTGTTATTTGTAGGATTACGTTTAAAAAATATATGTACTGATTTTGTACTCTTAGTTCCTCCCCGACCCTGTGTTTCACTACTTCTCTGTAGTGAATAGTCAGTATAGTGAACTTCACGTAACATTTCATTAGAAGGAATTTCCTGGGGTTGTTTTTATTTCCTTAGTAAGCATTATGTAGTATATTTCCTACCCTGAAAGAGGTTTCTCTACTGGGAAGGGACTTTTAAAAAGACTTTGAGAATTAAATTGTCATCATGATTCATATCAGTAGTCCAAACTGATGTTTGAACCATTTCTAAAAATAGCTTCTTTTGCAGGCCTTTTCTGAGGATTTTAAAAAGTTATTTTATAAGTATTTTTCAAAAAGAGATTGCCCCAGCCTAGGCAACATAGTGAGACCCTGTATCTAAAAAATAAAAAAGTAGCCAGGCTTAGGCAGTCCTGTAGTCCCAGCTACTCAGGAGGCTCAGGCAGGAGATTGCTTGAGCCCAGGAATTTGAGGTTACAGTGAGCTATAATTGTGCCACTGCACTCAAGCCTGGATGTTAGAGAGAGATCCTGTCTTGGGGGTAAAAAAAAAAAAAAAGATGGCCGGCACAGTGGCTCACGCCTGTAATCCTGACACTTTGGGAGACTGAGGTGGGTGGATCACCCGAGGTCAGGAGTTGAGACACACCTGACCAAAATGGTAAAATCCTCTCTCTATTAAAAATACAAAAATTAGCTGGCTGGGGCAGTGTGCACCTGTAATTCCAGCTACTTGGGAGGCTGAGGCAGGAGAATCACTTAAACCCTGGAGGGAGAGTGAGCCAAGATTGCACCACTGCACTCCAGCCTGGGCAACAGAATGAGACTGTCTCAAAAAAAAAAAAAAAAAAAAAGACTGACAAATGTGTGCTGTTTTCAAATCCTGTAGCTCACCAGAACAAGCTAGAAGAAATGATCAATGAGCTGGCAGTGGCAATGACAGCTGTAAAGCACGAACAGGAATACATGGAAGTCCGGGAGAGGATACACAGAGCCAGTAAGTGAATGCCGTCGCTTTGCAGCAGTGTCTGATGGCGAAGGTTGTTTTATTCAACACCTGGCTTGTATTTTCCTCATTTGCAAACTTTGCAGTGAAAGCATTGGCTTTAAAAGTATACCTACATGAGATATTTTTTGAGCATACACGTTTGTGGAGCTTTGTAGTTTATTATTGGGACATTTCATTCTAAACTAGAAAATGCTATTAAGATTTAGCACAAGCCTTTTGGTGTTTTGGCCAGGCGTGGTGGCTCATGCCTGTAATCCCAGCACTTTGGGAGGCTGAGGTGGGTGGATCACCTGAGGTCGGGATTTCGAGACCAGCCTGTCCAACATGGTAAAATACTGTCTCTACAAAAAATTAAAAAATTAGCTTGGTGTGGTGGCATGTGTCTATAGTCCCTGCTACTCAGAAGATTGAGGCATGAGAATCACTTGATCCTGGGAGGCATAGATTGCAGTGAGCCAAGGTCACACCATTGCACTCCAGCCTGGGCAATGGAGTAAGACTATCTCAAAAAATAAATAAAATAAAGAGTTTGGTTTTTAAAAAATGTATGATCAGCTAAGGAAAGGCTAATTGTTTTCTTAAATCATAAGGGGAAAATGTTGTAAAATGGGTGTTGCATTGGTTTTTAATCACATACCTGAAACTTATGTGCCAGTGGGATTAATATTAGAGCTGAGATTTAACCTTTTTACTAAAATGGAAGCCTTAATATAGTTAGATTAGAAAACACCAAAACAGGAGTAGAGGCAAGTCACCAGGTGAAGATCAGTTTGGGCTCTCAAGTTTGTAAGTTGGGAACTTGGAATGTATTTTTCTGTGGAAACAGTGATGATGGAAATCTTGTGTTAGGTTGCAAAAGTCTGTTTTTGCAGCAGGATAGAGCGTTAAAAATTAGGCTTTTGCATTTAAAATTAAGAGGTACTATACTGACACACAGACCAGTTTCATGTATTAGGTTCAGGCCCATACTGTTGTTCAGTTTTTTCATCCTCCAAGTAGTTCTTGGAGAGAGATCTCCCTGGGAGCAAGTCTTGTCTTAAGGGCAGTGATTTTAAGTCAGTAATCTTTGTTCTGAGACTGGGGTAGAGAGTGGAGAGAAGAGTGATTCAGAAAAGATAAGTATAACTTGAATTTCTTCCAGATGTGGTTTTTGTTTTCCCTGTTCTTAAATCTGTTCTTGCTACTTATGGAAACAAACCTTTAGGATCTGGAACACAGATATCAGCTTCTTTTGGCCAGAAGATGTATAAATGTAATAGCCTGGAGAGCTCCCCTCATCCCCACCTTTTTTAGGAGTGGAGTGGGGCATGATACGGACCAAGCTTTGTCTACAAGCACTCCAGCCTCTTCCCTCACAATTTTTTCTCCTTGCCACACACTTAATCTCACCCTCTGGGATCTTCGCTTTCTCTCTCTTACCTTGTTGGGACCTATTTATTGGTTACCTTGCTCCCCGATGGGGACCAGCTCATTCTGGGATTGGAAGGGCACTGAACTAAGTTAGATGGCAAGTTCCTCTACTTTGCAATGTTAACTGGTTCAGACCAGATGGCCTTAAAGTTATAGAAGTTCTTGGGAACACAGTGGCCAGAGGAAGCACATGTCTTCCAGTCTTGGGGGGGGGTCTAGCCTTGTTCTCTCACCCATGATTTGAGTGGAAGAGATACCCCTGTATTTGTTTCACAAATAGTGAGCTATGTGTTCATATTTAAAAGTGTTAGCAATTTCTATAATTTATAGGTATCCAGTTCAAATTTGCAAAACAAAAGGTTTCCATGATGTTTTGTTTTTGTGAGTTTTCCTATTGGACTCACTCCTCAGCAATGAACATAATGAGACCCTTTCACTACAGTGTTGCAGTAATACTGTGTTGCTTCTAGATCAGGCTAATATGTGAGTGGCATGAGGACAGTGTCCCAGGTCGCTACATTCTGATATTATTGTGCTTCAGTGTGTTCTGTTTAAACTTAAAGATGCATTTTTCTTTGTGAGGTGGAGGTGGGCAGATCACCTGAGGTCAGGAGTTTGAGACCAGCCTGGCCAACATGGTGAAACCCCCCTCTACTAAAAATATAAAAATTAGCCAGGTGTGGTGGCGCATGCCTGTAGTCCCAGCTACTCGGGAGGTCGAGGCAAGAGAATTGCTTGAACCTGGAAGGCGGAGGTTGCAGTGAGCCTAGATTGTGCCACTGCATTCCAGCCTGGGTGACAGAGTGAGAAAAGAAAAATGATGCATTTTTCTATAAGTGAAAGAAGAGAATACTACTTTCACATTCACAAATAAGAGACCATGTGGCAGATAACATTTCTCAGGTATAATTTTTATAATTAGGAGAAAAAAGTTAACACATATTTAGTTACAACATTTGGAAAATTACAAGCATAAAGAAAAAATAGCACTCAGAGTCTGCCACTTAGATAATCACTGTTTAATCACATTAAAGTCTGTTTTCTTTTTGCCTTGCCTTTTCTTGAAATTGGAATTGCAGCATAAGTGACTAAAGCTGTGTATTTTTATTTTTTATTTTTTGAGTCTCACTCTGTCGCCAGGCTAGAGTGCAGTGGTGTAATCTCGGCTCACTGCAACCTCTGCCTCCCAGGTTCAAGCAATTCTCTTGCCTCGACCTCCCGAGTAGCTGGGACTACAGGTGCACGCCACCACACCCAGCCAATTTTTATATTTTTAGTAGAGACGGGGTTTCACCATGTTGGCCAGGATGGTCTTGATCTCTTGACCTCTTGATCCACCTGCCTTGGCTTCCCAAAGTGCTGGTATTACAGGAGTGAGCCACCGCGCCTGGCTAGGTGTGTATTCTTTGTTGAAGAGATGGCTGCCTTACTCTGTTGCCCAGGCCGGAGTGCAATGGCTATTCACAAGTACAATCATAGCACACTCCAGCCACCTCAAACTCCTGGGCTCGAGTGCTCCTTCAGCCTCAGCCTCCTGAGTAGCTGGGACTACAGGTATATGCTACTACACCTGTCTCTACAGTGTCATATCCTGTTTTTCTCTTAGTCACTTTAAGAAAAGCATTTTTTGGTAGGGTGCAGTGGCTCACACCTGTGATTCTAGCACTTTGGGAGGCCAAGGTGGGAAGATCGCTTGAGCCCAGGATTTGGAAACCAGCCTAGGCAACATGGCAAGACCCCATGTCTGTGGGGGAAAGAAAAGGAGATGTGTTACTAAGTTTTCAGCAGAAGTAAACTTCATGTCCTGGAATTAGTACTACATACAAGTTTAGTGATTTTGGTTGTTCTTAGAATTCTAGTTAATGTTTTTTAGCATATGTCTACTTTTACTCTGGAAAAAAAAAATCACACAACTTGGGGTGGGTGCAGTGGCTCATGCCTGTAATCCCAGCACTTTGAGAGGCTGAGGCGGGTGGATCACCTGAGGTCGGGAGTTTGAGACAGCCTGACCAACATGGAGAAACCCCATCTCTACTAAAAAAAATATATATATAGCTGGGCGTGGTGGCACATGCCTGTAATCCCAGCTACTTGGGAGGCTGAGGCAGGAGAATTGCTCCAACCCAGGAGGCAGAGGTTGTAGTGAGCCAAGATTGTGCCATTGCACATTGTACTCCAGCCTGGGCAACAAGAGCTAAACACTGTCTCAAAAAAAAAGAAAAAAAATCACACAACTTTTGAGTAACTTTAAATAATTGCTTTTTTAAAAAAATATTTTTATTTCTGACCAAAGTACCATTTAGAATAAAAGTTACCCTTTTGAAAACATGTTAATTGCTTTTTCACTTATTTTCTTTTTATTTATTTATTTATATTTTGAGACAGAGTCTTGCTCTGTCACCCAGGCTGGAGTGCAGTGGCACGATCTCAGCTTGCTGCAAGCTCAAGCAATTCTTGTGCCTCAGCCTCTCAAGTAGCTAGGATTACAGGTATGTACCACTACCCCCAGCTATTTTTGTTTGTAATTTAGTAGAGACAGGGTTTTGACATGTTGCCTAGGCTGGTCTTGAACTTGTGTACTCAAGTGATCCACCCACCTGTGTCTTTCGAAGTGTGGGATTACAGGCATGAATCACTGTGCCTGGTCTATTTTCTTTTTCTTTTTTTTTTTAGACGGAGTCTCGCTTGGTCGCCCAGGCTGGAATGCAGTGCATGATCTTGGCTCACTGCAACCTCCGCCTCCCAGGTTCGAGCAATTCTCTGCCTCTGCCTCAGCCTCCCAAGTAGCTGGGATTACAGGCGTCTGCCAGCATGCCTGGCTAATTTTCATATTTTTAGTGGAGATGGGAGTTTCACCATCTTGGCCAGGCTGGTCTTGAACTCCTGACCTCATGATCCACCTGCCTCAGCCTCCCAAAGTGCTGGGATTACAGGCATCAGCTACCTCGCCTGGCCCTGTTTTCTTTTTAGAGACACACAGTCTTACTCTGCTGCCCACGCTGTAGTGCTGTGGTGACAATAGATAGCTCACTGTAGCCTCAACCTCCTTGACTAAAGTGATTCTTCTGCCTCAGTCTCCCAAGTAGCTGGAACTATAGGCATGTACTACCACACCTGGCTAATTTTATTTTTTTTGGTATATTGTATAGAGACAGGGTTTCTCCATATTGCCCAGGGTTGGTCTCTGACTCCTGAGCTTAAGCAATCCTCCCTCCTTGGCCTCCCAAAGTGCTGGGTTTATAGTGTAATTATTTTTAATGTTGGCCATTTTTAGAAAAATAAAATACTACATAGTAATTTTTAAAAGTTAAGGTTATAGAATTTGACTGGAGAGTCAGACACAATGGCTTTTGCCTGTAGTCTTAGCTACTTCAGAGGCTGAGGCAGGAGGATTGCTTGAGGTCAGGAGTTTGAGACCAACTTGGGCAACATGAAACCCTGTTTTAAAAAAAAAAAAAAAAAAAAAATTTAAAAATAAAAGGAATTTGGCATGGTGGCTCACGCCTGTAATCCCAACACTTTGGGAGGCTGAGGCAGGTGGATCAGGAGGTCAGTAGTTTGAGACCAGCTTGGCCAATAAAATGAAACATCGTCTCTACTAAAAATACAAAAATTAGCCACGCATGGTGGTGCACATCTGTAGTCCCAGCTATTCGGGAGGCTGAGACAGGAGAATAGCTGGAACCCAGGAGGTAGAGGTTGCAGTGAGCTGAGATCGTGCCACTGCACTCCAGCCTGGGTGACAGGTTGAGACTCTCTCACAAAAATAAATAAATAAATAAAAATAGAAAGAATTTGATCAGAAACTTGAATGTAACAAATTGAGTATAGTAAATAAATGTAGAGTAAGTGTGAATTTTACTTTAAGGATCAAATCCTTAGTTTGAGAGTTGGACAGATGATGAGAATAGTTTGTCTTGTATTTGACTGTCTGGTAGTAACTGTCAGTATTGATCCATGTAACTGAGCATCCTCTTCCACCGAGAACAACTGCCAAGTACACAGTAGGTGCTCAACAAATATTTGTCACATATTTGGGGAAAAAGACACTTAGACTGACATATTTTGACTTTGTTGGGGAAAAAGACACTTAGACTGACATATTTTGACTTTGTTAAGTCATTGCATTTCGGAGAATTGTGATTTTGAAATAATTCCTTATGTTTTTAGAAGTCAGTCTTCTGATTCAGCAAAAAGTAATATAGGATGTTTCAATGGTGAGGGAGAAAAATGGTTGGATTGTGTTTTAACCCTAGAAGTATGACTTTGAGCAAGTCACCTTTTCTTCTCTGCTCCCCATATACATGCAGAATGGACTTGGATATACAGTTATCTTTAAGGTTTCTTTCAAAAATCTCTGCTTCTACGTTGAGAGGCTGAGGCAGTAGGATCAGTTGAGGCCAGGAGTTCAAGACCAATTTGGGCAACATAGCAAGACCCTTTCTCTACACAAACAGAAAAAATTAGTTGGGCAGGCTGGTGCACACCTGTACTTTTGGCTACTCAGGAGGCTGAGGTGGAAGAATTGCTTGAGTTCAGTTCAAGGTTGCAGTGAGCTATGATTATATCAGTGCATTCCAGCCTGCCCAATAGAGCAAACAAAAACTTTGCTGCTGAGTTGCTTGGAGATAAAAGTAGTTAGAGTGTAGATGACCCACAGTTTGCAATGAATTCACTTCGAAATGTTCAGCTTTGTGATGGTTGATGGTGCAAAAGTGATGTGCATTCAGTAGAAACTGCATCAAGTACCCATGCAACCATTCTGTTTTTTTTTGAGATGGAGTTTCACTCTTGTCCCCCAGGCTGGAGTACAATGGCCTGATCTCAGCTCACCACCTCTACCTCCCGGGTTCAAGTGATTCTCCTGCCTCAGCCTCCTGAGTGTCTTGGATTACAGGCATGTACCATGCCTGTAATTAGCCACCATGCCTGGCTAATTTTGTATTTTTTGTAGAGTTGGGGTTTCTCTGTATTGGTCAGGCTGGTGTCGAACTCCCAACCTCAGGTGATCCTCCCGCCTTGGCCTCCCAAAGTTCTGGGATTACAGGCATGAGCCACTGTGCCTGGCCCATTCTGTTTTTTACTTTCAGTGCAGTGTTCAATAACTTGATAAATAAAATATAAAATGCAGTTTAACTTACATGAGATATAAAACACTTTATTATAAAATAATCTTTGTGTCGTTAGATGCTTTTGCCCAACTGTAGGCTAGTCTCAAGTTCTGATCATGTTTTAGGTAGGCTAGGCTAAGCTATGATGTTTGGTAGGTTAGGTGTATTTAATATATTTTTTACTTAGTATTTTCAACTTAAGCTGGGTTTATTGGGATGTAACCCCATCGTAAGTTGACAACATTTATTCTATGAATGGTGTATAAAATATTACTTTGACACAGCCTGAAGACTAGAATAATTATGATGCCTATGTTTTTCTTGGGGGGAGAATTGTTGTTAAATTGTGTTTGTTTGTTTGTCCTCAACAGTCAACGACAACACAAACAGCAGAGTGGTCCTTTGGTCCTTCTTTGAAGCTCTTGTTCTAGTTGCCATGACATTGGGACAGATCTACTACCTGAAGAGATTTTTTGAAGTCCGGAGGGTTGTTTAAAAAGCCTCTTCCTGATGATCCCAAACTCAGAATTCACTGTTTACCAAACACCTTGGTCACAATAATGTCATTAGTTTTTCCATTTTTATTTTCTGAACTAGACATTCACAACTTATGTTTCCTTGTGATTAATAGATATTGGGGGAAAAACACCTTTTTAGGAAAGTTATAGTGCAAATTTGACACTTGATTGGCATAATTTCTTATTTGAATGCTGCCTCCATTATATAGGTCCTTCCAGGAACTCAGACACTGTAAGTGAAATATGGGTGTATAGTTTTTATTATTTTTTTTTCCTTTTGTTTTCATAATTAAATGCAGTTTGTTCAGGAAATCAGCACAAAGCCTGATAATACTTTACTAAAATGACTGCATTCTTTAGATTCCCTTATTTTGTGGTTTAAGTCACTAACAATTCATTTTTGTTGAGTCCTTACGAGAAACAGTAGTATGAATCTTGACGGTTTCTGCCCATCCTAATGGCAGAGCTCTCTGACTTGGGCATATGCTGCCAGGCTGGGTACTTTTATACTTTGTTTTCTTGTTTTGCTTTAAAGCTACAACTCAGCATCCATTTTCCCCCATACATTTTTACATTGAACCTTAGGACTCAATCACCTCCACTTAAATCGATGACACAAGCAGCTAATAACCATTTTTGGGTTTCTGCCTAATCTTCTAATTGTCTGTTAAAGCCAGTTCTCTGGTGTCCCAGTGAATGGTGGCTCTTTTTCTTTCCACACTGGCACATCCACTTCCCTTACTCTTGGCACGTAGGAAATATGCATTTACATAATTGGAAAAATCTGGATTTCTGATGCCAAAGGGTTAAAGCCTCTTGCATTTCATTGCGGTGATATACAGCCACTATTTTATTTTTGATCAGTGGCCTTTGGGCCACTGTTTAACTAGGGCACTGGACATCAGTGTCAGCACTAGGGTTTTCGTTTTTCTCTTGGGTCTTTTTTTTGGCACATGTGAATTTCGTTTTGTGTAAAGTGAAATGACTTTCTCCTGTTCTCTAATGATGGGTTTAAAATTAAGAGCATCTGGTTTTGGTATGGGGAAGATTCAGGATGACGTGTGACTGATACATATTAGTTACTTGTACATTTTTTTTTTTTGATCTTTGCAAGGGGAAAACTACAAGTAACGAGTTTTATATAATTAATTTAAATTTGTTACAGGTTTTCATGTTAAGGATAAACAATTTTCAACCTTGGGTGAGAACACTTGCAACAGTTTATTGATAAGGTGACTTTCACCTTCGGACAGCTGTTGCATGCCAATTTTTTTTTGTGTGTGAAACACTTCAAAATTGATTTTAAAAATGTAAATTTAAAATTGGTTGTATCTAATATGCCCCAGGTTCGGTAAATAAAAAATTCTTTTTAAAAACAGTCAGTATTCTGTGTTTTATATATTGGCAGTTAATTCACATTTTTTACACACAAACTTTCTGTTCTTATTTGACATGAGACATGTCCGTGTTTTTTGAGTATTCCTGCCTATTACTTTTTAATTCTATAAACTTGAGGATAGTGAATGGTACCAAATTTTAGTTTCTGCACGTTTTCCTGTGTGGCTTCTCTGGTGGATCAGTGCTAAAATCTCAAGTATTTTTCTATTTGGGGAAAAAAGAAAGGGCTGAATTATTTTCATTCACCTGAAAGGTTTATGGATATGGAAAATAGATAGGGGAGGGACAGCAGGGGGTGGGGAGTTGGGGAGAGAGCATGGGGAGAAATGCCAGATACAGGTGAAGGGGAGGAAGGCAGCGAATCACACTGCCACGTGTGTACCTATGCAGCTGTCTTGCATGTTCTTCACATGTACCCCAAAACCTAAAATGCAATAAAAAAAAAAGATTAAATGATTTGCCCAAGGCTACAGATAACAGAGCGAAAGGTGAACCAGAGACTAGATCTCCACCTGTAGAAACTGTTCTTCCTCTGTGAACTAACAGCCTGCTGGTAATAAAAGTAGCTAATGGCCGGGCGTGGTGGCTCACACCTGTAATCCCAGCACTTTGGGAGGCCGAGGTGGGCGGAACATGAGGTCAAAAGATTGAGACCATCCTGGCCAACATGGTGAAACCCATCTCTACTAAAATACAAAAACTAGCTGGGCATGGTGGCGTGAGCCTGTAGTCCCAGCTACTTGGGAGGCTGAGGCAGGAGAATTGCTTGAACCCGGGAGGTGGAGGTTGCAGTGAGCTGAGATCGTGCCACTGCACTCCAGCCTGGCACCTGGTGACAGAGCAAAACTGTCTCAAAAAAAAAAAAAAAAAAAATAGCTACCATTTATTGAGCACCGTGTAAAGTGTTGATCTAGTATTAAGCACTTTACTTGGTCTTATTTATGCTTCAAAACTGCCATTACCTTGGGCAAAATCATTTTGGAAAATGAGAAGGAAAACAGGCTTGGAAAGGGTCCTAAGGGCAGAAAACTAGTAGATAGTAGAGTCCAGAAGACACACATGGATATGCAATTTCCCTATGCCCTTAGAACTGTCTGTGAGGTATGCCCCCCCCCCCTTTTTTTTGGAGCCATGGATCTCACTCTGTTCCCACGTTGAAGTACATTGGCTTGATCCCTGGTCACTGAAGTCTCAACCTCCCAGGCTCTCAATAATACTAATTTATTTGGTGATGGCTTTGCATGACAAAGGAACCTTCAGAATTAAGACCCCAAGATATAGGGAAGACTATTCATTTTTATGCTTAGGCTCAACAAAATGTGCACAGCTGTGTAGAAATAGGACTGGACAAGAAGGGCATGATTGAATGCTCATAGACTGAATGGGGAAGCCTAGTAAGGCCTGTCTGGATTTTTCTCCACCTCTCTGCAGGATTCTTTCCTTCTGGGTAGGGGACAGAACCCTTCCTGGAATGGGGTCTTAAAACCTACAATCAAAACAAAGGAGGTCAGAGGATTTATTTATTTTTTTTTTTTTGAGACTGAATTTCACTCTTGCCCAGGATGGAGTGCAGTGGCACAATCTCAGCTCACTGCAACCTCCATCTCCTGGGTTGAAGTGGTTCTCCTACCTCAGCCTCCCGAGTAGCTGGGATTACAAGAGTGCATCACTACACCTGGCTAATTTTTGTATTTTTAGTAGAGATGGGGTTTCACCACGTTGGCCAGGCTGGTCTCGAACTCCTGACCTCGGGTGATCCACCCACCTTGGCCTCCCAAAATGGTGGGATTACAGGCTGAGCCACCGTGTATGACCTTTTTTTTGGGGGTGGGGGAATGCAGTCTCAAACGTCACCCAGGCTGGAGTGCAGTGGCACGAATTTGGCTTACTGTAACCTCCACCTCTAAGGTTCAAGCGATGCCCAAGGCTCAGCCTCCCGAGTAGCTGGGATTACAAGCGCCTGCCACCACACTTGGCTTTAAATTTTTTTTTTCTTATTTTTAGTAGAAACGAGGTTTCACCACATTGGCCGGGCTGGTCTCAAACTCCTGAGCTCAGGTGATCCGCCTGCCTCGGCCACCCAAAGTGCTGGGATTATGGGCGTGAGCCTCCGCACCCGGTCCAGATAATTTCTTTATGGCCACTTTTTTCACAGAAAGGTAGAAAGAGAGGGAGTTAAGAGTAGTATTTTTAGGTTTTATGGCTGACTTTGGAGAAAGGGGGTTCCCGTTTGAAATTCTGGAGTTTCTATGGCCAGCCTCAGAGAATCAGATCAGAGACTGGGAAGAGGTCAGAGGGAACCTGCCTCTGAGGCTGCCTCAGGGGCCTTCACTTTGTGGTTTCGTTTTCAGAGCCCCAACAGGAGCAAGCCATGCACCTAGCTGAAGGAGACAGGCCCTCACAGAGCTCAGCTCATAATGAGTGGTCAATAAAAGCTTGCTGAGTGAAGGTGTGTGTGGCCATGAATGGCCTAGGCCAACAGTGAATAGAGGAATGGGACAGCGTCCTTAGGACTCTGACCCTAACTTCCGGGAAAGTAAATCAACGTTCAAGACGTACTGGCCATCGGACCCCCCAGCCGCCGCCATCAGCGGGTGCCTGTTTTGCAGGCTGCTAACCCGGGGCCCCGGGGCTGGGGCACGTTTGTTGCCCACGGTAGCTAGCCCCACTGCCCTTCGGCCTGGACGCGGTCCTGTGCTGCCACCTGCCTCCGAGAGGCAGAGAAAGTGGGAGGACTGGGCCAGACACCTTCCCGCCAGAAGCCCTGCCCGGTGCGGAGAGGCGCCCGGAGTCCAGGGAGCTGCGCGGGGCGGGTGGAACGCCCCGGGCCTACCCCGCCGACTGCCTTCATTCACCATCTCGCGGGCGCCTTTCCTCTCTCCCGCGGCGTGGGTGCCTTCGCCGACCTCCGGAACTCGGCTGCTCCTGCGCGCGGTTCCCTGACGGCTGCCGCAGCTGCCGGAAGCGGAAGTGCTCCGTGGAGTGCACTAGGCGCATTCTAGTGGCGGCGACCGAGGCGGCGAAGGAGCCCGCCATGGAGCACGTGACGGAGGGTTCCTGGGAGTCGCTGCCAGTGCCGCTGCACCCACGGGTGCTGGGCGCGCTGCGGGAGCTGGGCTTCCCATACATGACGCCGGTGCAGGTATCGGTTCCTGGGTGGAAATGAGACTAGGAAAGGGGCAGGCACCCGCTGCATCGGATACGCCGGAGGTGATCGGACAGACCCGAGCCCTGGGGCGCTCATGCCTCCAGCTGGGGCTCTTGCCTCGTCTCCAGGCTGCCCAGACTGGCGGGATGCGGAGCTGCTCCGCGAGTGAGCGGGCAGAGGGGCTTCGCCCCACCCCGCCCTCGGGTACTGGGGTCTCAAGCCTTGTTCCCATCCTGGCCCTGCCCTCTGTAGCTGTGAGACCTCAGACAAATGGCTTCAGCTGTCCGAGCCTGGTTCTCATCCTGGACCTGCCCACTGTAGCTGTGAGACCTTAGACAAATGGCTTAATCTCTCCGTGCTTCATTTTCCTTCTCTGTAAAATGACGAAAAAATAACACCTGCCTCATGGGGTTGCTGTCGGGACTAAATAAACCAGTCCGCACACCGTAGGCCCTAAGTGTTACCTGTTGTTATGCATCCAAGTGAAGCGGCCTGACTCCAGTTACGCATTTCTTCAAGAAGTAATTCTTGAGGACCTGCAATGTGTGAGGAACTCTTCTAGGGTCTGGGCAGTTTGCAGTGTTGGCATCTGCTCATAGCCTTACTTTTTAGGGCAGGAGCTAGAGAAGGATAATTTCAGCTGCTGGTTAGTGTTATGAAAGAACTAAGACTGTTGTGACAGTGACACGCGAGGACAGGAAAACTGAGACACGGTGTTATGGAAGGCCCCTCTGAGGAGGTGTCATTGAGCTGGGACCTCAGTGATTGAGAAGGAGCTGGCTCTGGGGTGACTAGGGGCAGATTATTTCAGCAGAGAGAAATGTCAGTGCACAAAAATGCCCTGGGGCGGGCTGCACATGGTTTGGGCAGCAGAAAGGAGGCCTTTGGCTGAACATCAGGGTAGTGTAAGAGATAGATTGTGCAGGGTCTTGTAGGAGCTTGGATTTCATTCTGAATGTAGTGGGAAGCCATCTTATCTAGGAAGCTGTTTAGGAAGGGAAGGGCTGTGATTTCTCTGTTGAGAGTGGCCTTTCTAGGCATGAGATGAGGCCGGCAGGTTCCTTAGGAAGCCACTCTTAGGTAAAAGATGATGGTGGCTCGGAATAGGGTGGCTCGGAGTAGGATATTGAGAAGTTACATTTGGGATAGCTTTAAGGTTGCTAAGGGACTGAAGTGGAGGTTGGGAAAGAGAAGACTCTAGAGGGACCTGAGGTTTTTCTTCTTAGTAGCTAGCTGAATGGTGTTACCATTTCCTGAGAACAGCTAGAGGGTATAACAGGTTTCAGAGGGAAAGTCAAGAGTTCTGGGGTCAAGAGTCAAGTCAAAATTCAGAAAATAGTTTTTTGTTTTAATTTTTTTGAGACAGAGTCTTGCTCTTTTGCCCAGGCTGGAGTGCCGTCTCGGCTCACTGTAATCTTCACCTCCCGGGTTCAAGTGATTCTCCTACCTCAGCCTACCAAGTAGCTGGGATTACAGGCACGTGCTACCATGCCCAGCTAATTTTTGTATTTTTAGTAGAGATGGGGTTTCGCCACGTTGATCAGCCTGGTCTTAAACTCCTGACCTCTGGTGATCCACCTGCCTCGGCCTCCCAAAGTGCTGGGATTACAGGTGTGAGCCACTGCACCTGGCCACAAGCGTTCTTTTTTTAAACACTGAGCTGAACCCAGTGGCACCTGCCTGTAGTACCATTTACTTTGGAGGCTGAGGTGGGAGGATCCCTTGAGCCCAGGAGTTCAAGACCAGCCTGGGCAACATAGGCAGAACCCCATCTCTAAGATTAAAATAAATAAAGGCCGGGCATGGTGGTTTAGGCCTGTAATCCCAGCACTTTTGGACCAAGGCAGGAGGATCACTTGAGACCAGGAGTTCAAGACCAGCCTGGGCAACATAGGGAGGCCCTGTCATCGCAAAAAAATTTAAAATAAATGAAGTCTTGAGTTTGAGATGCCCGTAAGCTTCCAGGGAATGTAGAGGATCTGTCTCCAGCAGGCAGGGCTGGAGATGGAAACCGGGAGTGCTGTGCGCCCTTCCTTGGGAATGTAGTGCAAACAAGACCCAATCTCTGCCCTCAGAGTTCATTGTCTAGACCTGTCATCCACTACGTAGTCACCAGACCCAGGGCTATCCAGTGCCTGAAATTCACTTTGTCCACATCAGAATGTACAGTATCAAATAACACACTGGATTTTGAAGACCTAGTATGAAAAAAGAATGGAAAAATGTTGATTTTTAAATACTGATTAAATATTTTGGATATATTGGGTTAAATAAAATATTAAAATTTATTGCCTCCATTTCTTTTTACTTTTCTTACAATGGTTACTAGAAAATGTAAAATTATTTGTGTGGTTCACATCAGAGTTCTGTTGGACAGCAGGGGCCTGGAGCAGGGTCCTCGCCCTCAGCACTATTGACATTTTATGCTGGAAAATGTTTTGTTCTGGGGTTGTCTGGGCGTTGTAGGCTGTTTAACAACATTACTAGAATCTGTCCACTGGAGCACATCACCTCCCAACCCCGGTTGTATTTTTTAAATTAATTTATTATTATTATTTTTTTAGATAGGGTCTCGCTCTGTTACCCAGGCTGGAGTGCAGTGGCATAGTCACAGCTCACTGCAGCCTCCAGCTCCCTGGGCCTAGGTGATCCTCCTACCTTAGCCTCCTGAGTAACTGAGACCACAGGCATGCACTATCACATCCGCATCATTAAAAACATTTTCTTGTAGAGACAGAGTCTCCCTATGTTGCCCAGGCTGGTCTGGAACTGGGGATCCACCCACCTGGGCCTCCCAAAGTGCTGTGATTATAGATGTGGGCCACCACACCTGGTCCACCCTGGATTTTGACAACCAAAAATGTCTCCATACATGGTCAAATGTTCCCTCGGGGGGTGAGCGGGGAAGATAGAAGTCACTGTGTAGAGAGGCAATTGGAATAGTATTACACCTGCTGTGATACAAGTGAGCTCTGGCCCTGGGGACCTGAATCTGATTGAGGTTTAGCTGTTTCGGTTGCTAAAACCAGGTTTCTTGTAAAGTCTGGAGACATCTACAGTGCTTAAAATGAGAGAGTTTATTGGAATCATCATTCTGTTGTACTAGAACTGGAAGGGGCCTTAAAGCCCAATGTCTGCAATCCCTTCCTGCTTCATAGAGGGGAAGGTAGGAGAGAGAGGACTAGAATTCAGGACTCATGCCTCCCAGCTCAGCTCACTGTCCCCACACGTTCTCCATGTAGACACAGTTGCTGCGTTTTCAACTTCTCTGTGGTGACTTGGTTACTCAGAGTTGCTTTTGTGGTAGGTCCCACTATGACCTTAGCCGCCCATTCTGTTCCTAGGGCTTTGGGTCTCACCTGTGAGTTCATGGCATCCTTTAACCCGTGCTTTGCAATCTCTCCCTTTAGTCTGCAACCATCCCTCTGTTCATGCGAAACAAAGATGTGGCTGCAGAAGCGGTGAGTGCCTCGGGTACGCGCAGCCCGTCCTCGCGTTTTCTCTCAAACGAACTCTGAGGAAGAAAAGGAAACCAAAACTCTCTGTTTGCAGGTCACAGGTAGTGGCAAAACACTCGCTTTTGTCATCCCCATCCTGGAAATTCTCCTGAGAAGAGAAGAGAAGTTAAAAAAGAGTCAGGTGAGGACAGCAAAAGTGGTTTCTTTTCACCTAGTCATCAGAGGGTTCACATTGGGTTAAGCAGCTGGATACAGACTTGAAAAAACAGGCCAGAAGCAGTGGCTCAGCCTATAATCCCAGCACTTTGGGAGGCTGGCTCTGGAGGATCACTGGAGTCCCGGAGTTTGAGACCAGCCTGGGCAACACAGTGAGACCTCATCTCTACAAATATTGAATGAATGAAACTTGAAAAAAGGGCAGTTGGCCAGGTATGGTAACTCACGCCTGTAATCCCAGCACTTTGGGAGCCTGAGGCAGGCAGATCACCAGGTTAGGAGATCGAGACCATCCTGGCCAACATGGTGAAACCCCATCTCTACTAAAAATGTAAAAATTAGCTGGATATGGTGGCACGTGCCTGTAGTCCCAGCTACTCCGGAGGCTGAGGCAGGAGAATTGCTTGAACTCGGGAGGTGGAGGTTGCAGTGAGCCAAGATCACGCCACTGCACTCCAGCCTGGTGACAGAGTGAGACTGTTTCAAAAAAGAAAATACAAATAATCCTGATTTTTTGTGGATTCTGTATTTGTGAACTTACCTGCTCGTTAAAATGTCTAACACCCAGTGGATCTTCGGTGCTTTTGTGGTCACAGGCGTGGCAAAGGTGCCTTTTGTTTTAGTGCTCAGGTATAAACAATGTCCTTTTCATTGTCCATTTAGTGCCATGTTTTTCACCTTTTTTCCCCCTGAGACAGGGTCTTGTTCTGTCACCCAGGCTGGAGTACAGTGGCATGATATCAGTTCACTGCAACCTCCACCTCCCAGGCTCAAGCGATCCTCCTGCCTCAGCCTCCTAAGTAGCTGGGACTACAGGTGTGGACCACCATGTCTGGGTAATTTTTTGTATTTTTTGAGGAGACGGGGATTTGTTATGTTGCCCAGGCTGGTCTCAAACTCCTGTGCTCAAGTGCCTCCCACCTCGGCCTCCCAAAGTGCTGGGATTACAGGTGTGAACCACTGCGCCCAGCCATTTTGCACATTTGTGTGCTTTATGTTGGTGATTTTGCTTTTTGAAATGGCCCTGTGATATAGTACTGAGGTGCAATCTAGTGTTCCCGGGTGCAAGAACGTTATGACATACAGAGAAAATCCACGTGCTAGAGAAGCACAGGCTCGGGTATGAGTTAATGTTCTCATGGCCACGAGTTCAATAGGAATGAATCAACAGTATATATTAAATAGAGTCTTTTGAGCACAAACTTACATAAAATAGGGTTATGTATTGATTAGCTGACAAAAATGTGATGCCCAGAGACCGGCAGGAACCTAACCCTGTGAGCAGTGGTTCAGTGTTCACTAACTCGTGTGCTCAGTGACTTTAAAGAGCATAACTGCAGTGTATAATGACGAGTACCTGCAATTCAGAGTAGTTGATACATGCTCAGAGATGCTGCTGAGAAAGTCCAGGAACTACTGTTTCTCTGGAACTTTCCTTTGTGTGGTGGAGGGTGCAGGGTCTATGAGTTCCTCTCTGGAAGTCCCTTGCACTGCTGACTGTGTCCCTTCCTTCCATGTGGGTAGGTTGGAGCCATAATCATCACCCCCACTCGAGAGCTAGCCATTCAAATAGATGAGGTCCTGTCGCATTTCACGAGGCACTTCCCGCAGTTCAGGTAAACTGGATGCAGTGTCCCTGTTAGCCATGGGCTGTTGTTTTGCTGAACTTAATCAAAGGCTGTTTTCTTCTTGTAGCCAGATTCTTTGGATTGGAGGCAGAAATCCTGGAGAAGATGTTGAGAGGTTTAGGCAACAGGGGTGAGTTTGCTCATGTCTGCTCATTTCTTTGCTTGCTCTTGGCACTGAACCTAGGAATCTATGTGTGATCTCAGCCTAACTGTGGGTCCCCCTTTCAGCAGCCGCCTCCTCCCGCAAAAAGGTGTTTTCTCCAGGCCAGCTTCCCATTGTGCTTTGCTGTCTCCTTCCCATAAGGCCCTGATAAGCACTTCACAAACTCAGGTTCTTACAGATGTCAAGAGAACTACGTCAGGATAAATGAGTGGTCAGGATAGATGTGTGCAGGGCTGGGGGGTGGTGAGAAACTGGCCAACAGCTGCCTGGAATACTCATCTCCAGCTGGTAGTTGCCTGGCAGGACTCTGAGCTCAGTCGTGCCAGATTTTGAATTTTTTAAAAAGAAGATGGAATTCCATATTTGTGTAATCTCCTGATTTTTTAACTGTTGGCATGTAATCTGCATTGGAAAATCACATCTTGTAGGTCAGCCAGTTGGTCGGCGCCACATCTGGCCCTGAGTCTGTAATCTTTACAGAGGATTCTCTAATTCTGTCAACATCCCCATTTTACAGATTAATTACCTGGGGCTGCAGTGTTTGAGTAACTTGTGTAGGTCAGAGGTTGGTAAGCTTTTTCTGTAAAGAAGCAGACGGTAAATGTTTTTGGCTTTTTGGACCGTATGGTTTCCGTCGCAGTTACTCAGCTGCTGTTGTAGTGTGAAGGCAGTGATAGACAACATGTGAATAAATGGGCGTGGTTGTCTGCCGGTAAATACTTAACAACAGGCAGCAGCCCAGGTTTGGTCTGGGAGCTGGAGTTTGCCAGCCTTGCCTGGGTCATAGCCCACAGCCCAGATCGCATGTCCCCGCAGCCCTCACTCTTTCTACCCTGCAGCACTCTTCCACTCTCGTGGCCTTCTTTCTCTTCACTAGGGCATAAATGACTTTGGGGGGGGGGGGTAGGAAACTTGGTATTTATTAGTCATAACCACATTCCCAAATCCAGAGAGTATGGTAAATGTTAACTTTCTTTCCAAAGTGGGAACATCATTGTGGCCACTCCCGGCCGCTTGGAAGACATGTTCCGAAGGAAGGCAGAAGGCTTGGATCTGGCCAGCTGTGTGCGATCCCTGGATGTCCTGGTGTTGGACGAGGCAGACAGACTTTTGGACATGGGATTTGAGGCAAGGTACTGGGTTGTAGACTTCACTGGCTTGAGTGGGCAGGTGGTACTAATACATAAGAAGAGCAAACTGGAATTTACCACTTTATGAATAGGTATTTTTATTTTTAATTTCACTTTAATTTTATTTTTTGTTTTTTAGAAATAGGATCTTGCACTGTCACCCAGGCTGGAGTGCAGTGACTGATCATGTTCACTGCAGGGTTGCCCTCTTGGGCTCAGGTGATCCTCCTGCTTCCGCCTCCTGAGTAGCCGGGATTACAGGCGCACACCACCATGCCTGGATATTGTTTGTATTTTTTGCAGAGATGGGGTTTTGCCATGTTGCCCAGACTGGTCTCAAACTCCTGGGCTCAAGAGATCCTCCCTCCCAGTCTCCCAAAGTGCTGGGATTATAGGCATGAGCCATCAGACCTGGCAGTTTTATTGTTTTTTAATTAATAGCTTCATATTTATAATTTACATATCATTATAATTGTATGCTAAAATTTGAGAAACCTTGGAAAAATGAAAGTATAAAGAAGAAACAAAAAATCACCTATAATTCTACCTCGCAGTATATCTGACTATAAATCTTTTGATGGCTTCACTTTCCGTCTTTTTGAAAACCTGTTTAGTATCGTGAAGTACTGTGTGTTGATTATGCTGGCAAGTGAGGGGTTAATTTTGAGCTCTCCTCTTTTTATCAGTATCAACACTATCCTGGAGGTGTTGCCAAAGCAGAGGAGAACAGGCCTTTTCTCAGCCACTCAGACGCAGGAAGTGGAGAACTTGGTGAGAGCGGGCCTCCGGAACCCTGTCCGGGTCTCGGTTAAGGAGAAGGGCGTGGCAGCCAGCAGCGTCCAGAAGACCCCCTCCCGCCTGGAAAACTACTACATGGTCAGTGCCTGGGCTTGCGTCTTAGTCAGCAATAATGACCAGTGCTCATTTCATGGAAGTTGTACGAGGAGAATAAATATGAAATATGTGGCACATATGAAATGCTTTTGGGGACAGAGCTAGGACAGATGGTCTGGGTGGTCCTACTCATTGAATGAATAAGTTAAATTGGGCATAAATGTATTGTACGTACAGTTTCTAAGGACAGTATCTTTGAACCTCCAACCTCAAGTGACCAGATGTTTCTATTTCACAGGCCTGGGGTGTGCTGGGTGCAGGCATGATACAGCTCTAGTTCCTGGGCCTGTCAGAACAGCCTGACCCAGAGAAGGGCATAGTTAGATGTGCAGGTGGAACACAGAAAATCAAATGACAGACTCACTCCTAAGGAGACTTTGTGGGTGGAAATGTTCTGCTCTGTAAATGTTGTATATTTTTTACTTGCATCAAATATGTGGAATTTCTAGCAGTGAAGACTAGCTGCTGGCTTCTGTAGTTTCTTCACAAGGAAGTAGATGGGCTTTTGGCAACTTGATTGTTTAGTAATGAGGCCACTCCCCAGCCCCGTTCTGTTCTGTCCCATTGCTGGAATGGGTCACAAGGCACAAGTGCAGAGTGCACAGGCTACAGGGGAGGCACGGAGGAACCCGCAGGCCAGGTCACTGCTAACGGCATATCCACCCACCAGCCTGGGACTGGGGCTTCTCTTTCTCTTTTGCAATCAGCTTTCTCAGGTTGAATATTTCTTCAGGCCTGAGGGGGTAGTTCCTCAGTTCCTGAACATGTCTGTTGTTCAAAATGAAGGAGGCTGGTCTCAAAAGTAGAGTGTTCCTATTGCTGTGGACTGAGGTGGTCAAGGCTGCTCTCCTGTTTGTGTCAGTTTGTAGGCAGATGAAAGGTAGAGTGAGTTTGCAAATGAGAAACTGCACCTAGTGTAACTGGAGAGTGTTGTCGAAATCAGATAGGCTCATCAGAAGTGGGGGCTGTAGTTACCATTGATGTTTCTGACTGAGGCCGGGCTGGATGAAGTAGGAGGCCAGCTCGGTGCATCAGGTAGGCATAGGGAAGTGTGGAGAGTGTGGGCGCTAGAGCAGAACTGCCTGCTGCAGATCTTGGCTTTGTCCCCTTCTAAATTAACCGATGAACTTACAGGACCTCACTTGTCAAATGGAGGCCACAGTAGTATACAGCTTCATAGGGTTGTTGGAGGGTTAATTAATCCATGCAGAAATGTCCATGATAATGCCTGGTACTTAGTAAGTTGGGTTGAGCATGGCTGACGTGAAATTCCAAAATCCAAAATGCCCCAAAATCTGGAGCTTTTTAAGTGCCAACATGATGCTCAAAGGAAATGCTCATTGGAGCATCAGGATTTCAGATTTCCAGATTAGGGATGCCCAGCTGGTACGTATAGTGCAGTTATTCCGAAGTCTGAAAACATTCAAAAGCCAAACACTTCGGTCCCAAGGGCCTTGGATGAGGGATAGTGGTACTCATGTTAGCTTTGGAAACCCACTGTGTCTGCTGTTGCGTTCTGTTATTTTGCATTTAGAGGTGGCTGAGTACATGAGAAAAAAATTCCAAACTGGGGATTTGGTTTGGGCAAAAATAGGATGAATGCATTCAGGTAAATTTAATGTCTCTAATTTGGGAGTTTGAATGGAGGACTTGATTGCACTATGAAGAAAAGTAGTGGGGTCTGTGTCCATGGAGGCCTTTTAAATAATTATGTTGCTTTCTGGAAATTCTTATTCAACTTAAAGCAATGACTTCTGAACTTGGCATCAGAATTTCCTGGGTAAACGTTTTCTTTTTAAACTCTGAAATAATATGGATTCTTGCTGTTAAAAAACTACCTGAGACTGCATTAAAAAAAAAAAAAAAAAAGAAAATGAAAAAATAATATGGATTCTTAGGTCCAATCTCAGACCTGCTGAATCAGAATCTGTATGTCATACCCAAGAATCTGCATTTAAAAAAAAAAATTTATTTCATATCCTTTGGCCACGAATGGTGGCTCGTGCCTGTAATTCCAGTACTTTAGAGCTGAGGTGGAGGATTGCCTGAGGCCAGGCCGGGAGTTCAAGGCTGTCTGGGCAACATATTCAGACTCTGTCTCTTAAAAAAAAAAAAAAGTAAAATAAGTAAATAAAAATCTGCCCTGGAGCTGGTGTGACAGCTGGCGTGGAGATTGGGATTGGGAGTTGGGAACTGCTGCCTGTGGGATGACTGTGTTTCTCTGAGCCGTGTGACTTTGTGACAATCAAATTAACTTTTACAGGCAGCAGCACATGTCGATGTTTATTCTGAGCCAGGTAGACCAATCAACATTCTGACTAAATTCTGTCCTATCCAGAGAGGAAATGGCATTCCTTAAAATTGAACGCTGAAACTGAAACTAGCCATGGGGATTATTACTGCCAAATAAGTTTTTTATTAATTTCCATGTTTACTTTATAGGTATGCAAGGCAGATGAGAAATTTAATCAGCTGGTCCATTTCCTTCGCAATCATAAGCAGGAGAAACACCTGGTCTTCTTCAGGTACTCCTCTGGTCTCTGTGGCCGCGGCATCAGGGATTCAGCCAGAATGTGCAGCTGCATGTGGCCTTTGGGTTTTGGATTTCATCTAGCATGGTTCTCTCAGGAATGTTTTTTTCTGCAAATAACTGAAAACCCAACTTTTGTGGTTTGTGGCTTTATTTTTCTCCTGTAAAAAGAAGTCCAAAGGCAGGCAGTTTCTCACGTGGGTTTCATATGTCAGTCATGTCAAGGTCAGTGTTGTGATTGGTCTCTTCCTACGTGTCACGTCATGGATTCTAGATGACCAATATTACACCTTGTCATGTCTGTGCTGAAGAAAGATAAGGCAGGGAAAGGCAGAGGGGGCATATGGTAGTGTTAGCTATATCCATGCCTTTTAAACGTTTTCTTTTTAAACTCTGAAATAATATGGATTCTTGCTGTTAAAAAACTACCTGAGACTGCATTAAAAAAAAAAAAAGAAAATGAAAAAATAATATGGATTCTTAGGTCCAATCTCAGACCTCTTCATTCCCCTAGGGAGGGCTCGGGATGATTCTCACTGCCTTTCTCCTCTTCATTCCCCTAGGGATGATGCTCACTGCCATTCTCCTCTTCATTCCCCTAGGGAGGGCTCAGAGTTAGGTTGCCTCTACTGCAGCTGTTGCTCACTGTTCCCCTCTCCCAGTTGTAGAAGGACGAAGGTGGTCAATGCCTCTAAGCCCTCTGTCCCTCTTGCAGCACCTGTGCCTGTGTGGAATACTATGGGAAGGCTCTGGAGGCGCTGGTGAAGGGTGTGAAGATTATGTGCATTCATGGAAAGATGAAATACAAACGCAATAAGATCTTCATGGAGTTCCGCAAATTGCAAAGGTAGGTGGGCTTCACTGGACGGAGCAGCTCTCCTGTCACAGGGTGCTCTTTCAGGTCCCCAAACGCCTCATTCTCCCTTAGCTTGTGCTGCCCGCATGTGTTGTTTTTCCTGTCTTCCTCTCTAATGTGGTTATCATCTCTCTCTAAACCCAGAACCTCCATTGCTCTGTTCTAATCCCTTTGTCTTTTGCTGTGTCACTTTCCTAGTTACTGAACTCCCGCGCTAGATGGCAACCGCCACAACACGGGGTCCCTGTATATTGTCTTCACTCCCAGACTGCCCTGTGCCTGGCCCAGGGAAGGTCAAGCAGCAAGGAGCAATCCATTTGTCCTGTTGGGATGGAAACTGTCTGGCTTATCAGGCTTGTGACTACACAGTAGGGAACTTGTGGTCTTTCAGTGACAAGAACTTGTTTCTGTTTGTGCTTACAAATCATACTTTTCTGTTTTTCTTAATCATTGAACATCTGGCTACATTAAAAGTCCGCTTTTGGGCAAAGTGATACACCTGACTGCTGGGCTGCAGTCCTGGAGTGAAGTGTCTGTTGTTTTCCAGATGGCTACAAACGATTAGACCCATATAGTTTTGGTTTTCAAATGTTTATGTTCTAATTTTTAAAATCCCTTTGCTGTCTCTTACCTCCAATTTATATTGGAACTTGTGAAGTCCTAGAGATTTGTAGGAGGAAGAAAAAAATCAAAATATTACCTTAAGTATTTGCTTCTCCCAGCACTTTGGGAGGCCGAGGCAGGTGGATCATGAGGTCAAGAGATAGAGACCACCCTGGCCAACATGGTGAAACCCCAGCTCTACTAAAAATACAAAAATTAGCTGGGCATGGTGGTGTGTGCCTGTAGTCCCAGCTACTCGGGAGGCTGAGGCAGGAGAATTGCTTGAACCCAGGGGGCGGAGGTTGCAGTGAGCCAAGATCATACCACTGCACTCCAGCCTGGCACCTGGCGATGGAGCGAGACTGTGTCTCAAAAAAAAAAGTATTTGCTTCTGTAAGAAGCTCCAGAACCTGTGTGTCACTGTCATCGAGATCAGTGGGCTGTTTGATGGTGATGAAGATGGTGACCTCCTTACTCAGAATGCCGTTTTCTCATTTTCTAGTGGGATTTTAGTGTGCACTGATGTGATGGCCCGGGGAATCGATATTCCTGAAGTCAACTGGGTTTTGCAGTATGACCCTCCCAGCAGTGCAAGGTATGGTATGAGGCTGCCACCTGCTCTCTGTTGAGGAATTTAGCCTAATAAAGTAGGAATCCTGAAGAAGATAAACAGATAATGATGCTCATTGAAACATTATTTTATAGTAAGCCTCCAGCATGCGTGGGTCTGCAGTGACCCTGTGCATTCCTATAGCGCTTGCCAGAACAGGTTTGAAATGGTTTGAGGCCTTGCCCTGCTCCATGTAGAGCAAGGTCAGAAATTTCAGGCAGTGAGAGGAAACAACACATTTTTCGAGGCTGGGCATGGTGACTCATGTCTGTAATTCCAGCACTTTGGGAGGCCTAGGCTGGTGAATCGCTTGAGCCAAGGAGTTCACCAGCCTGGACAACATGGCAAAACCCCATCTCTACAAAAAATATATAAAGATTACCAGGCGTGTGCACCTGTAGTCCCAGCTACTGAAGTGGGAGAATTGCTGAAGTGTGGGAGGCAGAGGTTGCAATGGATTGTACCACTGCACTCCAGCCTGGGCAACAGTGTGAGATGCTGTCTTAAAAATGCATTAACCCATTTATAGTAAAAGTGATACTGTATTGTGTATTGGCAGCAATTAAAAATATTTTCAAATATTACCAGTTCTTGAAGAAACTAGAATGTCTAGAAAATAGAATATTTAAATGAAAAACAGCAATAATGTAACGCCACATGTGAAAATTACAATTACTTTTTCTAAAGTCAGCATATATTCCTAATATATGCTTCCAAGCATAGGGAAATGCCTATAAACCCCCAAGTGTTAATGATTACCTCTGAGACTATTGGTCATTTTTATTTTATTCTTTATATTCTTCATTGTTTCCCAGATTTTCCCCTGGGGCCAATGTCCTACCTGTGTGATTAGAGGGAAAGATCTAAGTTTTACTTAGAGTTCACATTGAATGTTTCTTACAGAATCGTATCTGTCTGCAATGCTGGTTTAATTGCCAGTTCTTCTGTTTCTCACACTAGTAAGTGGCTAAGTCCACCCTGAGCTGTGGAGTCTCGAGGCTCCCCATAGCATTTTAGCAATATCAGCCCTGTGGCTGGAGCTGGAGCTCTGCTCAGCCACCATCAACTGGGCACCCATTTCCACCCTGTGTTCTCACAGCGCCTTCGTGCATCGCTGCGGTCGCACGGCCCGCATTGGCCACAGGGGCAGCGCTCTGGTGTTCCTCCTGCCTATGGAAGAGTCATACATCAATTTCCTTGCAATTAACCAAAAAGTAAGCTGTCTTCCCTTTTCAGATAGAATATCTAGTAACGGGGTAGCTAGAAAAGTTCTCTGGCACATGATCAGCAATTGAAATTACGAATTGTGAATTCAATGGGGCTGGGCTGCTGGTGGCAGTGCAGGGCCCTGGTGGGCTTTAAGGCTGTGGAGGCACCTTGGTCATGGAGTGACCAAGCCTGCTGTGCGGTAGCAGGCTCTGCTGGGCCCAGGCAAGGCTTACCTCTTGTGAACAGAGACCCAGTGTTGCCATACTTTGCTATCAGATTAGGATTGTCATGTGAAATCGGATTTTTTAATTTTCTTTTTTTTTTTTTTTGAGACAGAGTCTCACTCTGTTGCCAGACGCCAGGCTGGAGTATAGTGGCGTGATCTGGGCTCACTGCAAACTCCGCCTCCTGAGTAGCTGGGACTATAGGTGCACGCCACCACACCCAGCTAATTTTTTGTATTTTTAGTAGAGATTGGGTTTTACCATGTTGGCCAGGATGGTCTCTCTCTCTTGAGCCCGTGATCCACCTGCCTCGGCCTCCCAAAGTGCTGGGATTACAGGTGTGAGCCACTGTGCCAGGCCTAAATTTTCTTTTAAAATTTTAACATACTTTTCAGAGCAAGTGAAATATTTGGTTTGGATTTGGGATTCAGACCTCTGATTTAAGATTAAAAGGAATTGTTTTGCTTTTGGTTTTATTGGTCGTGACGGGGGATCCCGGGGGATGAGGGGATACCAGCCACGGAAGGTGAAGGTGAGAATGTGGTGTGTGTGTAGTGCCCCCTGCAGGAGATGAAGCTCCAGAAAAACACAGTGGACCTTCTGCCAAAACTCAAGTCCATGGCCCTGGCCGACAGAGCTGTGTTTGAAAAGGGCATGAAAGCTTTTGTGTCGTATGTCCAGGCTTATGCAAAGCATGAATGCAACCTGATTTTCAGATTAAAGGGTAAGTTGGACTTTTTCTATGTCTTCACCTTAACTGTGGTGGTCTTACAAGTATGAGATTGCTTTGTCTTGTAAAAGGAAGTGTTCCCAGGTTTTGAGGAGACACAGAATAAACTGGCTACTAGCTGCTGCATATTCCTTTTAACTTTGTAAAAATTAATTATTTTCATTTCATTAAAATGAATGCATTAAACCCTTTGGTTAGCAAAAAATTATAAGCCGTTATTGATTGTGCTAACTCTGATCTTCTGATTGAATTAGATCTTGATTTTGCCAGCCTTGCTCGAGGTTTTGCCCTGTTGAGGATGCCCAAGATGCCGGAATTGCGAGGAAAGCAATTTCCAGATTTTGTGCCTGTGGACATTAATACAGACACTATTCCATTTAAAGATAAAATCAGAGAAAAGCAGAGGCAGAAACTCCTGAAGCAGCAAAGAAAAGAGAAAACAGAAAATGATAAGAGGAGAAAATTCATAAAAAATAAAGCTTGGTCGAAGCAGAAGGCCAAAAAAGAAAAGAAGAAAAAAATGAATGAGAAAAGGAAAAGGGAAGAGGTAAAGTTTATACTTTTACTTACATGTCAACTTAGAATCTTGAACAAGTATTACTGTAGTATATCTTTAAATAGGAATTGCGTGGGCCTCTCAGATTTTTGTTACATTGGTGACTAGGATTGGGAATTGCCTCTGTTTGCAGGAGCCAGTCTGAGAGCTTACAGTTCTCCAGTTAAAACTGCTGGTTTCACTGGAACACTACTGCTGAAAAGTTCAGTACTTTATTGGTTTCTTCTGCACTTAGGGTTCTGATACTGAAGATGAGGACATGGAAGAACTTCTCAGTGACACAAGACTCTTGAAAAAACTTAAAAAAGGCAAAATAACTGAAGAAGAATTTGAGAAGAGCTTGTTGACAACTGGCAAAAGAACAATCAAGATGGCAGATTTAGGGATCTCAGATTTGGAAGATGACAGCTGATTCCAGTGCCACAGATGAACCCACAAAGGCATAGCGATGCCTTAACTTGGTGGATGGCTCCAGTTTGCTTTCGGTGGAAATCAAAACTTCAGGAGGCATCTGAGAAGAATCACATGTCTGAAAGCCGTCCTTTCAGACTAGAGGGAAATGAGGGATTTCACAATTGTGAATATTTTACTAAAAACCGTCTGGTCTTGGCCAAATGTGGTGGCTCTTGCCTGTAATCACAGCACTTTGGCAGGCAGATCACTTGAGCCCAGGAGTTCAAGACCAGCCTGGGCAACACAGTGAGACCCTCTCATTAAAAACAATAAAACAAAACAATTACAGTCTTGAAATAGTCTAACAAAAGAAAATGCAAAATTATTTGAGTATAAATAGAAGTCAATATTTATCATGATGGGTCACACAGATATATATGCACATTAATAAATATATATGAGCTTTTTCTGAGGCAATTATTTATTTATTTATTTTTTTTTTGAGACAGAGTTTCGCTCTTGTTACCCAGGCTGGAGTGCAATGGCGCGATCTCGGCTCACCGCAACCTTCGCCTCCTGGGTTCAGGCAATTCTCCTGCCTCAGCCTCCTGAGTAGCTGGGATTACAGGCACGCGCCGCCATGCCCAGCTAATTTTTTGTATTTTTAATAGAGACGGGGTTTCACCTTGTTGACCAGGATGGTCTCAATCTCTTGACCTCGTGATCCACCCACCTCGACCTCCCAAAGTGCTGGGATTACAGGCTTGAGCCACCGCGCCCGGCCTTATTTATTTATTTTTAAACATAAAGATACTAAAGTATACTTGACTTTTGGTTTTCAAAACCATTCCTTAGTATCTTCAGGCGCCTGACCTCCCTGAATGTCCTTGGCCCTGGGCTTCAGTTATCCTTTGATGCCCTGAAAAGGTGGCTAATGTGCTGTGGTTTTTCTGTGTTAAGAATAGTCCCAGTATTGTTTTATTGGTGAATAGCTGAAAAACAGGAATTAAGTCATATTCCAGGAAGGAAAATTAGTTTTTGTGCCTTCTGTTGCATAAATGGCATCCTTTTGATTGCCTGTCCAGAGTGTGTAAATGTAGCTGCAGTGTCTTCCCCCAGATGGCCTGGGGTCAGCTTGCAGTATTGACAGAACACCACATCAAAGTCTCGCAGAGTTTATTTGAAAAGATACTGAGTTTGTTTCCAAGTATAATTTTGAAAAGCTGTTTAGGATCCAAACATTTAAACATCTCTTCCACACACAGAATTTCTGTTTACAAATATTCCAGAAAGCATTTTCGTAAGTGGTGAGCCATGCGGCGTACCCCGGCCAAATGTGGCTTCAGACTTCCTCGTGTTCTCTTGGTACAGTTTTTGCCGTTTGGCTTGATCCCGTTGAGGAACGTGCTCACCACTGGAAGCCAGACGCAGATTCGGCAGGTGTTTCTTGCCGCTTACAAGGCACCACGTGTAACATGTCCTGACCAGCCGCTGGTCATTTGTTGCAGAGGGGTGTGGCTGCCTTTTGGCCTACATCTCGAGTGCTTTTGGCCAATCATGCGAATGCAGGGGAGGATGAAGAGAGGTGGACTTGGGTTCATCTTTCATCAGTTAAGTAGCCAATAATCTAACTTGTATTTCTGGAAACTGAAAATGAAAGTTTCTAGAAAGCGTAAGAACAATTCAGGTTGGGTTTTGGAATAACGGACACATTCTTAGATGGAAATGCAATGAGTAAGAAAGGTTCTCCAAGATGGATGATTGATTTTAAGTCCTCAGTCCATAAAACTTCCTTAAAACACATCTCTGTTTTGGCCTTGCTCATTTGGGGTGTCAAGCAGCTACTCACCCTGCCTCAACTACACATAAGCTACACCTTGGCAGCAAAGGGCCCCCAGGTTACAGATAGAGTTTGATGAGCTCATCGCTGACAGCTGAGGGTGTCAGCACACCCAGGTCGGTAAACAGCAGGGTGATTAAGGAAGGGGCAGTGTAGTCGACCCACGGATGCTCCTCTTTAAGGTCTTGTCCAGTCTGTGCGACCTTGAGAGTATCTGCCTTATACTGAGGAGATAAGAAGTACACATTAGTCGGTGCTGAATATCCAGGGCTCCAAACTCGTGGGGCCCTGGCATGAGTGAACACTGTGCTACTTCCTGACACTGCTCTCTGAAGAGAGAGGAGGGCAGAGTTCGGCCCATAAGCCAAATCATGACGATGTGCTTGTCAAGAGCTATGGTGTAACAAACTTAAATCATGTGTCCCCTCATTCTCATGCTGGATTAGCTTCTCTAGACCTCTCAAGGTAAGATGGAGAGTCACTAGAGAGCTTGTGGTGTGCCAGGCACTGTGGTAAGATTATCTTACAATCCTCAGAACCCTGTCAGATACTACGATGCCATTTTACAGACAAGGAAACAGGCTCAGAGGTCGCAATGAAAGGATACCCTAAAAAATAATAATAAATTTAAAAAAAAAGAAAGGACTTGCCCAAGCCACACAGTTTATAGCTTGAGGCAACGAGAGCTGAGCTGAGTTGAGCCCAAAGCTGGGACTTACCCACCAGCTTCCTGGCTTCCTCTCTACCCATCTCTGATGCTACTTAAGAGACTGAAAGACCAAAATTCTAGGGACAAATGTGTGAGCCCACCCACCAATTTATCTTTGTATTCCAAGTGTTGGGGAAAATAGCAGAAGTGAAAAAATTACCGGAAATTCTTAGGACTGCAATTTTCCAAAGGTTCCAGTTTAGACTTTAGTACCCCTTCAAATATGGAAAACTCTTGCCTTAAACTTATCTGGGACATCTTGCTGGTTTAGTGGAAAGAGCCGGACAAACTTGAAACTTTCTGCAACCACGTAGAAAGGTTTGTTCTGTGCTTTGGCACACACGGCCATCTGGTTGGTTCCAATCTGGGAAGGCAGAAAGTGGAACGGATGAGCTCTAGAGTGCTTTTGAAATAGAAGCCACAGAAAAGCAGGCCAGGAAGAGCAGCGCATGCCTCTATCCCAGCATTTCAGGACGTTGAGGTGGGAGGATCACTTGAGACCAAGAGTTCAGGACCAGCCTGGCCAACACAGTGAGACCTCGTTTCTATTACAATAAATGAACAATTTAAAAACAGCAATAGAAAGTTATGTATATACACAACATATGTAATTCTGACCTTGGAATCAAAGAGGACCTTAAAATAATAAATGTTTCTCCAAGGATATTAAAATAGCCACTAGATACATGACAAAATCCTCAACACCATTAGCTCCTTAGGGCAACGTAATACAGTGAGAGATCACTTCCCACCTTCTAGAATAACTGTAATTTTAAAAAGAGGCTGGGTGCAGTGGCTCAAATTCCAGAACTTTGGGAGGCCAAGGTGGGTAGATCAGCTGAGGTCAGCAGTTCGAGACCAGCCTGGCCAACATTGTGAAACCCCATCTCTACTACAAATCCAAAAATTAGCTGAGCATGGGGGCACGTGCCTGTAACCCCAGCTACTCAGGAGGCTGAGGCAGGAGAATTGCTTAAACCCGGGAGGTGGAGGTTGCAGTGAGCCAAGATTGTGCCACTGCACTCCAGCCTAGGCAACAAGAGTGAAACTCCATCTCAAAAAATAAAAAAAAAAAGGACAAGTGTTGACAAGGATGTAGAGAAACTGGAACCTCTGTGCTTTGCTGGTGGGAACGTAAAGTAGTACAGCTGCTCTGGAAAATCATTAGTTTCTCAAAAAGTTAAATATGCAGTTACCATGTGACTCAAGACTCTGCTTGCAGACCTCTGCCTCCAAGGTTCAAGTGGTTCTCCTGCCTCAGCCTCCCAAGTAGTTGGGATTACAGGTGCTCACCATCATGCCCGGTAATTTTTTGGGTTTTTTTTTGCTTTTTTTTTGAGACAGAGTCTCACACTCTGTTGCCAGACTGGAGTGCAGTGGCGTGATCTCCACTCACTGCAACCTTTGCCTCCTGGGTTCAAGTGATTCTTCTGTCTCAGCCTCCTGACTAGATGGATCTACAGGTGTGTGCCACTACGCCCGGCTAATATTTTTTGTATTTTTAATAGAGATGGGATTTCACCATATTGGCCAGGATGGTCTCAATCTCTTGACCTTGTGATCTGCCTGCCTCGGCCTCCCAAAGTGCTGTGATTACAAGCGTGAGTCACTGCACCCGGCATTTTTTTTTGTATTTTTAGTAGACAGGGTTTCACCTTGTTGGCCAGGCTGGTCTCAAACTTCTGATCTCAGGTGATCCACCTGCCTCAGCCTCCCAAAGTGCTGGGATTACAGGCGTAAGCCACCATGCCTTGTTATATATGTTTTAACTAAAAAAAGCTTTCATGAAACCTATCTAAATTAAACAATGGTTAAAGAAATTGTAATCAAATATTGAGGTCGTGTGCTCAATTACAATGAAAACAAATGACGGGCTGGCCATGGTGGCTTACGCCTGTAATCCTAGCACTGTGGGAAGTGCAAGGATTGCTTCAGGCTAGGAGTTCAAGACTACAGTCAGCTATCACCACTCTACTACACTACACTGCACTCTAGCCTGGGCAACAGAGTGAACTTGTCTCTATTTATAAATATATGTATTGGCCGGGCATGGTGCTTCACACCTGTAATCCCAGCACTTTGGGAGGCTGAGGTAGGCAGATCATGAGGTTAGGAGTTCAAGACCAGCCTGGCCAACATAGTGAAATCCCATCCCTACTAAAAGTACAAAACATTAGCTGGGCATGGTGGTGGATGCCTATAATCCCAGTTATTTGGGAGCTGAGGTAGGAAAATAACTTGAACCCTGGAGGTGAAGATTGCAGTGAGCAGAGGTCGTGCCAGTGTACTTCAGGCTGGGTGACAGTGCAGGACTCTGTCTGAAAAAATATATAATAAAAATAAATATCCAGGAGACGGAGGTTGCGGTGAGCCGAGATCGTGCCATTGCACTCCAGCCTGGGTAACAAGAGTGAAACTCCGTCTCAAATAAATAAATAAACAAATAAAAATATATGTTATATATTATATTTACATATATTTATATATACTTTACATATGAATGTTTTAAATGTAAAACACTCGTGTATCTGTTCTGTGTACACATGTGCAAACATAAATATACATACACATAAAGGATAACAAATGTGAACAAGAAACAGACAAACCCAATTCCAATTCAAACCCATTCTGTGTAAATACGAATAAAGCTTTTTTTTTCTGAGACACGTCTCACCATCGTCCAGGCTGGAGTGCAGCAGTGTGATCATAACGCTGCGACCTCAAATTCCTGGGCTCAAGTGATTCTCCTGCCTCGGCTTCCTGAGCAGCTGGAACTACAGGCAAGCACTACCATGTCCAGCTAATTTTTCTAATTTTTTGTAGACAGGGTTTCACTATGTTGCCTAGGCTGCTCTTGAACTCAAAGCCTCAAGTTATCTTCCCACCGTGGCCTCTCAGATTGCTGGGATTAACAGGTATGAGCCATCACACCTGACTAAATCACATTGTCTTCATTTATGTAGATCAATCTAAAAAAAAGAAAAATCTGACCAAAATTGGACTGACCACTGCAATGGCTTATGGGAACTGGGCAACAACTCAGTGCTCTGATGAAGTCCTGAAGGAACAACACTGCCGTGGGTCCTCAGTCAGCAAGACACCGTCAAGCCTTGAGTAGGGAACTAGGGAGAACTGACGCTCTTACCTTGTTAATAATTCCTCCGTTTTCAACGACTCCTTCAGCACCAACTATGACAAGATCTGCCTTCTCCATGATGTAGCTAAGGGAGAAAAAAAAGCTTTTCATGCTTTATTGTCTCGGCACTAGTGAGTAGCATC